CCCTAAATAAGAGGGAATCCCGCCTGGCTGCCTTCAAGCTTGGATGCTGTTTTTCGCTTTTTTCCTGCCTTTGGATTTAAACTGACACATGGGCTCTTCGTAGTCTTGAACTTGTTGCCCTTCTGACTGGACCAATACCACTGGCCTTTCCCTTCACCTTTCCACTTTTCTTTCCAGCACTGATATGTTATATACATGTTTCTGTACTGTGGTTGGCTCATCATCTTTTCTTCTACGTAGGGTGTCAGCTCCTGGTAAGAGGGACCTTGAGTCATCTATTTCCCACTGAGTGGAAAAGTACTTGGCACATAGGAAGTGCTCATACCATACCTACTGAATCACTGGCACAATTCCCTATTGCTTCACGACATTTATTTTTTAAATACTGAATCAAAAAGATTATTTAGTAGTTTCAACTACAGTAATGAAATAGTACAGTTTTATCTTTTCCATGCATCTTTATCCCTTCCTCTTTACTCATCGCCCCCTCCCGTACAATGTGCCTTTTGGTGAATAAAGTAACATAAGTTCTACGGGAACATTTCCAAATGCAGTGATAGCAAGTACAGACCAATAGTAGAGGACAACTCACAGTTTTACAATCTTTTACCAACCTCAGCAGATGGACTTTCTTGATAGCTTACATGCCAATAGCCACAACTGAATGATACTGCAATAGTTTATTTATTTATTTATTTATTTATTTATTTATTTATTGACACTGCAATAGTTTGAAGAGCTCAAGTCTAATGTAAGCAGTGAGTGACTTGGGTTTCAGCAGAGTTGTTCTTTCAAAATAACCCATCTAACCAACCAGAAGACCTAGGTAGCAGGAGGGCAGAGTGTGATGCTCAGTAATACTTTGGGAGTGAACACAGTTCTCAGACACTCCCTGCTCAGTGTGCTTAGGCAATCCGGCTTCTAATTCAACATTGTACTTGAGGCCAACTGCTTTCTGCTCCACAGGGTGAAATTTCCTAATGTCACTTATAAGGTGTGATGGTGAAACGGCCAGTTCTAAATGTACTAATACTCACCCTGCCACATTATTTAGAGACTGAGTCAAAGTTTCTGTAGCATCGTGATGCCCTCAGACTTGAGCATGCCAGAGAAGAATGTGCCCAGCAATTTATTAGAGTTGCTGTACTCAAAGTGTGGAGATGAATTTAATGATCTCATTGAGATATAACTGGGAATTAAACTTTCTGGGGTTACAATAATCTGATTGAATATAAACTTAATGTACAAGGAATCCCAATTAATACAAAAATAATAACAATATCAAGCCAAAGAATTACCAGATGGCTGAAAAAGAGATAAAATGTGTGAAGTTTTAATACATCTCATTCCCTACCTGGATAGATTTAAGAGATGTTTCCATCTTCTCTTTTACCCTATTCTGAAATGTCTCTGTATAAATATGTGTGAAATTCTGTTTTATATTTGAAAATTACCCATTTTTATTCTTTAAGGCATTACTAAAACTAACCAAACCAATCAACCAAAGGAAACAAAACTCTGCACACAGAATTTGGTGGCAGAAAGTCTAGGTTCAGGTTTAAGTTTTATTAATTATTAGCCATGGAGCCCTAAATAAGTTGCTTAACATCTCTAAAGCTCATTTTCCTCAACAGGAGAGTTACTCTTATGTACATATCCAATCAATTGTGAACATAAAATAATATAGTGTGAAAAAAATGGAAAGCTTCTTTACAAATGTGGAGATTAATACTTTCTTAACAGAAATGTGTTCCTCTTTCCAAAAGAGAATTTAATGCAGAATAAAGTAGAAAATAAAGGTAGAAAAAGAATATAACTATTATATTTTTTTATTCTTGTTAGGAATTGACCACAAATTTGGTCAATTCTAAGTTCCTAGCAGAAAAATCACAGACAAAGATAATCAGTGAAAATATGAATCTGTTAGGAAAAAAGGAAGCAAAACAAAAAAAAGAAACAAACTACCTTCTTTTTGTGCTTATTCAACTGGGGTACCAGAGGGAAATAGATTGTGCTAATCTAAAAAGCCACAGAACAAACTGTAGAATCTCCCTTGCACTTAAATTTTGCTCAAAGGCAAATTAAAACTTTTAAATATTGAAACAAATATATATCATTTATTGAATATTTTCTATGTATCAAATGCTCTAGTAAGTGAGGCACAGTAGGGAACAAAAGGTCTTGACTCTCATGCAGTTTATATTCTAGGCCAGAGTAATGGTTCTCAACTGAAGCAGATTTAAAATCAAATTTGCAGATAATCAACCTACACATAGTTAAAAGAATATAATTTTCTTTTATAGGAGAAATAAAAATAATTTACAATAAAGTGATATTAATTTAAAAAGAAAAATACCTGCCTAAGTATCTACCTATTAAAAGAACATCTTCGGGGCTGGGGATTTAGCTCAGTGGTTTGGTGGCCTGCCTTGCAAGCGCAAGGACCCAAGTTCAATCCCCAGTACAAAAAAAAAAAAAAAGAACCTCTTTGATCCCCAGTACCAAAACATTCAAAACATTCTTGTCATTTATCTCTTTATCTGATATTTTGAAATAAGAGCTAAATAATATATTATGTCTATATGTACAGTTCCTATGAATTCAACAGCTACCAATGCAAACTGAAACAACATGTCATAAACACCACAGAGAGTAGCTGCTAATCCTGCTATGATTTCTGACATGGTAACTTTTGGTATACTCCTACACAAAACAGAGGATAATATCTGTGGATACTTTAGTGTACAATAAAACTGTCCATAATGTCTTAAAATTTATATGCAAAATGTAGTGAGGTTCTAGGATCAGATAATTATGCATGTGGCTTTCACTTACCTGCACATTCAGGGGGATGCTAAACAGTCTTGTCAAATATGGAGCAATTGCTGGTTGCATGGCCTGAGTTAGGCATCGAAGAGCATCTAGCTTCTCTGGCCTCTGCCCACAAAATACCAGTAGAGGCTCTCCCGTACGTTTGAAAGCCAGAAAATATTCCCACGAATTCCAAAATGCTCCAAGACGCATTATTACCCCTTTATTGGGTAATCATTATTATAGTGTTAGAAGATAAAAAATAATGCTAGGTACAGGTATATGGGTTAGCACGTGAGGTTTCTCTGCACTAGGTGTTTGTGGTTCTGGTGATGAAACCCAAGGTCTTATGTGTACTAAGTTAGTACTTGATCACTGAGCAATACTCCCTGGCCAAGACTGTAGCTTAGATCTCAGAATTATAAGTAGATTTTAGGTTAAAGTTGAGATGTGAATCATGAGATTGAAAGAAAAGGCCAAGCAAATTATCAGGAGCAAGAACCTTCCTTCCTGGCAGAGAATCAGTGAACAGGCTGTGAGGTAGGAACATATAGCAAGCTTAGGAACAGAAAGAAGGCCACCAAGTCTAGAGCATAGGTCAGAATGGTAAGAAAGCATTGACTTTTTGGGACATAGGGTGAGAATTTCTGAACTGTTTTTTAGGTGATGTTGAAAGTCTTGTTAGGTGATTAGAAACCCCATATTAAACCACATTCACAAAGACTGTTCTCTTAGACTATGATATGTAGATCCTAGGGGAGACAAAAGCTTTTCCAGCAAGAACAGGAATTATCTATGGCTCACAGTGGACTCTGGGAAAATGCTCAAGAAGTTGGCAAGGTTATTTAAAAAGATAGCTCTTTTTATTGCTGCTATCTAATGGGAATTATAATAGGCATTTTAATACATCATTTCAAGTTCTTACAAACAACTCTGCAAGATAATCATCAATGTTGCCAAGGTAGCAGGAAGTTAGCTAGTAACACCTGTCATTACTGAACTAGAACTATCAAGCTTCAATGCAATTTTTATAAAAAATAGAACGATGCATGATCTCATGGTGGGCATATTTTGCTGTCAGATCCCAGTTCTGCCACCAGGGTCAGTGATGGACAGTTCCAGATCTACAAAGTTGTAAAATTCCCTTTCTCCTTCTGTCTCTTTTGCCAGGAACATAAATGTCCCTTGGTAGTCCTTGCAAAGAACAAGAAAATCTCTTTGATAAGAGTTTGGAGGTTAAAAAATGTGGTGAAGATTTACTTAAAAAAGTATCTTTATTGCCTTTTCTGACTGCAAAAGTAATACATAGGCATCGTTCCTGGAAATTTTTAGGCTTTCTAAATGAGGCTAAACAAACCTAAAGCAGCAATTTAGGCAGCGCGGTTATGAGTGATAATGAGAGTCTGATCCTTGACTCGGCTTTTTCTCGTGGTGTCTTATCTTGGGTATTCACTGAGGTGAGTACATTTGAACTCTGAACTCGAGTCACAAATATATATATATTATAGTGGTGACCTCATATGTCTCTTTGAACAGTTGCAAACTGTATCAGCAATTCCTGAGGGTAAGGGACAAGAAGGAAACTAATTTGAGCAGAGAAATAGGACTCGCAATGCTACAGGTAAGGACTGAAAAGTTCAGCCTGGTACAAAAGGAGGACTCAAGATCAAGGAAAAATACTGCTACATACTATCAGGAGAACAAAACAGAAGCAGAATGAGAGCTCTTTTCCAGCTCTTCATTGTTCTCTGCATTCCTCCTGGCTGTTCCCTTTATCTAGTTGTTGAATGGCCCTCCACTTGGCGGGTGTCGACTGGCTCCATTTCACCACCTACTTTTTCCAAGCCTTGCAACACCTCCAGGCTCACCGTGTCCTCGGCTTGGCCGACAGAAATTTATCTACGGTAACCGGGTTACATTTTCATTAGCTCTCTAAAAGAGAGAGCGCGAGTGCGGAGTGGGCGGGCCGCTGGGGAGTCTGAGAAGGGTGCCGCGCAGCTCCGCCGAGCGGAGGACCAAATCGCCCCACCGTATCCAGGGCCACCTGCCGGGTTAGCTTGAGCCCCGAGAAGAGACTCCTGGTAGTTAGCTTCTCCCAAGGGAAGAGCGGCTGGTTTAGACACCGCCTCCCGCCCACCTGGCGCATTTCCGGTCACGTGCCACCGCCGCCCAATCAGCGTTGGGAGCCTGCAGGCTCGAGATTCAAACTGGGACGCTGCCTACCACAACTACCAGCGCTGACTCCGCTGCGGTTGCAGCTCCGAGCAGTCCATGGAGCATCGCCTTGTGGGACCCGGGCCCTACAGGGCCACTAAGCTGGTGAGTGTAGGGGCCTGGGCGAAGCCGCCGCGGCCGCGGTCCCCTGGGACACCCTGCGGCCTGTCGGCCCAGGCCAAAGTGTGGAGGCGGAGGTGTGTCTGCTGCTGCTGATTTCTGCGCGACGCTCAGAGAAGGGCAAAAGGGGGCCTGGAGCTCGGCGCGACTTGGGTGCGTGTAGCTTCTACCCCGAGACACGAGCTGGTTTCTCAGAAACAAACGGAGCCTCCTAAATTAAAGCGCCGCGACCAGGCCCATCCCCTGCCCCTTTGTCCTTTGGAACCTAACGCCTGCATCTGGGAGAGCGGAGACCTAGCCACTAACCTTAGGCGGCCCCACCCCCTGTAAGGAAGGGCGGGTCTCTTCCCTTTCTAACGGTGCCTAACGCAGAGGTGGACCACCCTGACCACATTTCCTGCTATGGCGTTTCTGTCAGCACCGACCTACCTGCTGGATCGGTGGGATGATTTGAAAAAGCCTTTGCAGACTCTGGTGGGTCAGGATGTTTCCTTTTCTCCTGGAATGAAGGTTTTGTTATTTAGAGGTGTACACCCGTTAGCTTTACAACCAGGAAAAAGTAATTTTAGTGATTCCTCAAATGATTAACACAGTATAGAGTAAGTGGTAACATCTTGGTATGTTCACGGCAAGTTTTTAGAGGACTTTTTGTGAATGTTTTGTAATTTGGGAGGAAGACAAGTGACCAGGGTCTGTTAAACCCTGTTGGCTGCATTTACCTTGGAATTGATTCTCAACATTGCTGTATGCTTCCTAAGGAATATCCAGGAAAAGATGAGAACTGAGTTCCAAACTTTTAACTAGCCTCATATGAAGAAGAGATGAAGACACTGGGTAATGGGTAATATGGTTGTTTGCTTTTTTGCTCAACTTCTGGGAATTGAACTTGTCCAATGCTAGGCAAGTTCACTACATTCCTACTATTAAAATTTCTCGAGCCAGCCATCTGCTGTGGCCTGTGGGGTCCCTGGTGAGTTAAGGGGTCAAGCTAGGGCTAAGAAGGCTACCTTCTGGATGGAGAAATTGTGGTTGGGCCTGGAGATGTGAAGATGCCTTCTATTTTTTTTGGCGTCACTGAGGATTGAATCATGGAGCACTGAGCTACATGCCTTTCCCCCTCTCCCCATTTCTTGGTACTGGAAATCGAAATCTGAACTTGGAGCTTCTGAGGCAGTGCCCTTTTGACTTTTGAGACAGGTTCTCACTAAGTTGCCCGGGCTGGCTTTGAATTTGTGATCTTGTCTTTGCTTCCCAAGTAGCTGGCAATACAGGTGTATACCACTGCACTTGAAAGGCAGTTCTTTACTTTTTCAAGTAGGCTCATAGACTACTTTAAGAATTTAGTAGACAATACCAGGCATTTTTATAGGAAAGTCTATATGCCACATGCTTGTGAAAATTTACATATAATTTCAGGGGACTTGGGTTGTGTATGTTTGTGTGCCCTGTAACATTCATTTGGCTTAAAACAACCATTTTTTTGCCTATGATTCCATGGTCCACTAATCTGGACCTGACTCATGTTAGTGGTTCTTCTGATGGAGGTCACTCATGTGTCACAATGATCTGATGATGTCTTACCTTTATTGTAGCTGAGACAAAATACTGGACACCCCAAGTTAAAGGAGGAAAGGTTTATTTGGCTTACATTTTCATAGAGGTTTCAGCCCATAGGCATCTGGCTTCAAGGCATGGCAGGGGGCATCACAGAGGAGAAACAGTCCATGGCAAAGCAGGGCAGGCAGAAGGCAGCAAGTAGCAAGCAAGTGACTAGCAACAAGACATGACCACAGCTTTTTCTCTCCCTTATATTTTACCCAGGCTAGCTGCCTTAGGGTTGGTAGCACTCACACCCTTAATCCTAGCATTGCACAGCAAACTAATAATCCTAGAATCTCAGCAACACAAACCCTAAATCCAGCCACCTCTAAAATGCCCCACCTATGATCTCATGAGGCATCGAGGGGACATCTAGATATAAACCATAACGTCTGATGACGTAACTAGTACTTGGGTAGTTTAAGATGGCCCTTGATTTGGTCCCACCTTTAGTTGGGTCGAGAACTGCATTTCTAATAGGTTAGCTCTGATATCTGCACATGGTGGTCTCATGGTTCCAATATAGCTGATGGTTTCAACATGTAATTTTTGCTCAGATTTCAATGACCAAAGCAAGTGAAGCAGCTAACCCTAAATTCTAGAAATTATCTCTACTTCCTAATGGGCAGAGTAGCAAAGTCATATTACTGAGGTGCCTGTGAAGAGGATAGGAAGAATTACTGTGCTCATCTTTGCAAATCTACAGGTACACAGATGATTCATTTATTTTTTCAACAAATATAAATTTAAGTTTTCTTTTGAGCTGCCTTCTAAGAGGTATGGATGGTGGTGACAGATAATGAGTAAAGTTTTAAAAAATGGAGTTTTTTTTTTTGGTAATGGGGATGGAACTCGGGACCTTGTGCTTGTGAGGCGGGCGGTGGCACCATTGAGCTAAATCCCTGGCCCAAAAATGGTGGTTTTTTTTTTTTTTTCCCCCAGATTGGTAAAAAGGCTTTATTTGCAGGGTGTCAGACATTTAATCAAACAGGTCAAATCTCATGTTGTCATCTGATTCCTTTGGATTCCTCCTTTCTCTTTCTTTGCAACAGCAGAAGCAGAACCAGTAGCAGGAGCTGCAGAGCTGGGGACAGCAGAGATGGATGCAGCCCCACAGCAGGCAGTTGGCAAGCTTAGCAATAGTATGGGCAGTGGCATCCTCAGAGGTTTTCTCATTCAGCTCACTGAGGACCTGGTTGAATCAGTTGTCTTCTGCCTTGATGCCCACACTGGCCAGGATCCTCTCGATGTCCTTGGCATTGGGGGAAGGGTTGTCCTCAAAGGCAACCAGCAAGTAGAAGGTGACAGTCTGTGAGTTGAGGAAATGTAGACCTCGTTTGTGCAACATTTGTTGGCATAGGGGAGCAAAAGGAAAGGGAAAAATATAGTGTTTTCATAATTGCTTCTACTTTCACAATTGGTTGTACCATTTAAACCATTCTGGTGTCAGGGTTGTTGGTAGACCTGCCTTTTGGGGTGAGATAGAGGTTGTGTCTTATCAGTGATTTTCAAAAACTTCATCAGCAGTCCATCCTTATCTGTGGGGGACATGACCCAAGATCCCATGGGGTAGGGGCTGAAACTACAGATAATTTTCTGTTTTGTACTATATTTAAGATGAAGCTTAATTTATTAAGCACAATAAAAGACTAATAGCAATAACTAATACTAGACTAGAACAGTTAAAACAATGTACTCTAACGAAGTCCCCAGCTATCATTATTTTTGTACTTTGTGGCCATTATTAAGTAAAATAATGGTAGCTTGAACACAAGCGCCTTAACACCTTGTCATTTACTCTGATAATCTAGATGATTGAATGACTAATGGGTGAACAGCGTATACAATGTGGGCACACTGGGCAGAGGGGTGATTCAGATCTCAGGCAGGATGGCGTGAAATTTTATTAATTACTCAGAATGGGATATGACTGAAATGTTATGAAGTGTTAATTTATTGAAGTTTCCACTTTCAGACCATGATTTATCATGAAATGTTGGGTAAGGGTTGAATTGTTCCATTTTTTAGGGAAGAATCCATTCCAAAATTTATTCATAGCACTTCTTCAAGGGAAATAGTAAAGCTCTGGATCTTGGCATGACTAGTGCTTGTCTTAGAATAAAAACTAAATAGCACCATAACTAAAACTTTTTTTAAAATTTAAATTGAATTTATTGGTACATTCTATGTATACAGTACAGTTACATTCATTACTGGGATCTTGTACCTCTATATGACAAGTCTTGGTTCTCATTTTTTCCTCTTGTCCCCACCCTTCCTTCACTCCCTTCTCCCCTCCCCACCTACAAACACTTTAATTCCATTTTTATATTTTCTCATATTTTTTTCCCTTTCCCTTATTCCCCTTCCCCTATTCTTTTCACTGTCCTTACACCTTTAGTCCTTTGCTTCCTGTTTCACATTGCTAATTAACCCGTTAGAATCTTGAGCACTATTTTAGTTTTTCACACCAGAGAAACTATTCAGTATTTACACATGTGTGACTTATTTATTTCACTCAGGAGTATATCCTCAAAATGTACCCATTTACCTATGAATGAATCTACTTTCTCATTCTTTATTAAAACTATTTTTTAAAGTATCATTCACAGAAGTATATGAGCTGTGTATCTTATTTTTTTTCTTGCCACTTTCCTTTTTAAAAAATGTTTATTCATACATATTTGCCATAATGATTACATTCATTGTGGGGATTGGTACGTGTTACATAACACATCTTTTTTTTTTTTCTTTTTATTGAGGTTATTGGTACAATCTAGGTATACAATACAATTACATTCATCATTGGGATTCTGTACCTTTACATAATAGGTCTTGATTCTCATTTTTCCCCTTGTCCCTGCCCTCCCTTCACCCCCTCCTCCCCTCCCCATTTACAAACACTTTATTTCCATTTTTTCAGTTTCTCATATTTTTTTCCTCTCCCTTATTACCTTTCCCCCACCCTTCCCACTTTCCTTACACCTTTAGCCCTTTACTTCCTATTTCACATTATTAATTATCTCATTAGGATCCTGTGTACTATTATAGTTTTTCACCCCAAAGAAACTATTCGGTATTTCAGTTAAAGAAATCTCTGTATGAACATTAAAAATAGGGAATCCTAAAATAAAACTAAAAAGGAAAGTAAAAGAGAAAAGGCAATGATGTAACATCAAAATAATCCTTAATTCTGGAGATGAAAATGGTCCCTGAACATATTTAAATTGCTTCTCGCTCTTATAGTCTTATCTTATTCTTTTTTCATTATTTAGAGAATACTTTATTAGTTTCTGTAATCAAACCCACGTAGATATGACCTTACATATTTAGTACGATGTGTTACCCCTGTACACATGGAAAAAAAAAAAAAAAAAAAATAAATTAACATTTCTAGACCAATATGGTTGTCCATTTCTGTACAATGCCAAGTCAACACAGTAAATTGGGATGACTTTTTCCAAAGTTGGCAGCACCATTAAAGTTTCCCAAAATTCAATTTATATGTGTGTGTGTGTGTGTGTGTGTGTGTGTATATAAAGACTAATAATAGTATGTTTACATAACACATTTTAATTCCTTTTACTTTTCCTTCCCCTCCCCTTCCCATTTGCAAAAGATTTATCTCCCTGTTTCCTATTGTCTCTTTTCATTTATATAGAAGGCCTAGGTATATAGACTGTTAGGTTCTGAGTTACATTAAAGTATCTCTTTTCTAAGTATTTTCCCTTCTCAAGAAATGATATTTAGGCCAGGTTTAGACTGATCAAGTTAAGCAAAAAAAAAAAATGTGGATAATTAATGAAAATAATTTTACCAAAATTTTCCAGGTAATCAATTCAATTCTCAGCTTTATTCCATTTGAGAAACATAATTTAAACTAAAATTTGGGAAATTGGCGGGAGGGACAGTGAGGATTTCTGATATTAGAGACTGCAGCTGTCATTAAAGGTAAAATCTGTGTTTCCCTAGTATAAATCAGTTGTGTTTTAAAGCTTGTACCAAGTAAGTCATGGTTTGGGACTAGTTTTCTCTTACTTCCTTTTCTCCTAAGGGGCACTGTGAGGTCACTTCCCTGCAGGAAAAGCTTGAGAAAATCTGTATCCGTTGGTGTACAGAGAGCAGCCCTCTGCTTCCTACTTTAGTGATTTCTTTAGTGACTCTTTCATGCTCTTCTCAGAGCGTACACTGACCATTTCCTAAAGCACCGAATCTTATTTGAAAACAAAATTTAATGTATTAGGTAGTTATTTAAGGGAGAAATCAAATGACAGACGCAATTAATGATGGATCTGGGAGGTAATTAACTACTTAGGGAAATAACTTTCACATTTGTATATACAGTTTGTGTATACTGTGTATTTGTGTTTTAAAGTAAGGAGAAAGAAAATTCCTCTGAAAACTAATCTACTGATCTTATCTGAGTAGGGTGGCGGGTGCCTTATAACCCTACGTACTCAGGAGGCTGAGGCAGGAGTACTGCTTGAGTCTGGAGGTTGGAGGCCAGCCTGGAGAACACAAGGAAGATCCTGTCTCAACAGCAAACAAACACCAAAACTTAACTAAAACTTTGATCTTTACTTCACTGTATTCTGAATCATTTTATGATCTAATACAACTTACAAACTTTAAAAGGCTCATAGCTGCTCTTTGAATCAGCTAACATGGCTATGTTATACATCTAGTATGTGTGAAGTACAAGTGGATCTCAAATATGGTTTTCTCTTTTCTCTTGTGCCAGTCCTCTTTATAGCTCCACTGTTAATTTTACAATTTTACAATTTGATATACACTGATATTTTTACAATTAAGAAGAAAGGAAATAAAATAAATGTCCTGAAAAAAAGGACAGAAAATATATTTCAGCACTAGTATTGTATCTTATGTTTGGCTTAGGATATGTAGCACAAAGAGTTGAATTAAATGAATTCTTTGTTCCTTAAACTAGTAGTCTAAAGTAAGCAAGCCAGACAAAAGATGTTTTTTAGTCAGTTGTGTTCCTTTTTCATTTATATTTTCAAATATGTTATAGAAAAAAACCTCTTTTCAAGTTGTCTTGTTCTTTGTTTAGATAGGATTAAGGATTATTTTTTCACATGTGACTGAGGGTGAGCTATTGCTACATTACTTAAGGATAACAATTATTTTTTTTTCTGAGCACAGTAGCCAAATAATCACATAATCATATTTGAAAACAAGTGGGAGCAGAGTACAAGTTCCTCCCTGGTCTTCGAATATCTAAAATGTCTCATGGATTAAATGAATACAGTACATAATGGTAAATGTCATTTAAAATAAAAATAAATGAATGTAAAATTGTATTTATAAATTTTTGTTAATTATTTACTTATAAATTCTTGTTTTAAAAAGAGATATGAATCTTTGATGAGAATGTTTTATTGGAAATTTTCTAGTATGAAATGAAAGCTTGCATTCAATAGAACATTTTAACTCCCATCCACAATCCTATGGGTGATGTGTTTTCAGTATTTGGTACTGAGGATGGACCATACTAGCCACGTGTTTTGCCACTGAGCTATACTCTCAGCTTGTTTTTTTTTGTTTGTTTGTTTGTTTTTTTTAATGTGCATGATACAATGAGTTAAAAAGCTTGTAAAGAATAGGAAAAAAATTTAAAAAGATGACTGTGGGGGGGAACTTATCCTCCCAGAGATTTAAACATATTATTAATTATAATCACAACAGCATAGTATTTTTTTTGTCCCCTTTTGGAACTGGGGATTGAACTCAGGACCTTGTGCTTGCCAGGCAGGCACAGTGCCACTGAGCTGCATTCTCAGCTCTCAGCAGCATAGTATTGCACTAGAACAGACAGTAACTCAATGAGATAGAAAAAGAATATTCAGAAACAATTACGAAAGATAATATGTAGAGTAAGTAGCATTTCAATTCAGTTATAAAAAGCATAGTTGGTTTTCTATTGAGAGGAAAATAAAGGCAGAGATTTCTTTTCTCCTGACAAAGTAATTCTATATTAATAATAAGTGAACATAATTCTATATTAATAATAAATGTAACAAAACTATTTCAACTTTTCTTTTCCCCTTTTGTGGCTCTAGGGATTAAACTCAGGGGCTTGTGCATGCTAGGCAACTGTGCTGCCATTCAGTTTCTTCCTTAGCCCATGACTGTTTTTAAATGTATGGCTCAGTGGTATTAAGTACATTCACGCTGTTCTGAATTGTCCCCATCATCCATTCTTCAGATTTTTTTAAGCACTCAAAAGGCATAAATAAGTTTTAATCTTTCATCTGTTATTTAGGCAGTTTTGAAATATATAAAATTGCAGTCATTGCTTTAAATATTGAGATATAGTAACTTTAAAAACATATCAGTTGATTACAAATGCTTTGTCTCTTTGTGTTTGCCCTAGTGGAATGAGACAGTGGAGCTTTTTCGGGCCAAGATGCCCTTGCGGAAACATCGCTGCCGTTTCAAGAGTTATGAGCGTTGCTTCACAGCTGCAGAGGCTGTGGACTGGCTGCATGAGCTGCTGAGGTGCAGTCAAAACTTTGGCCCCGAAGTGACTCGAAAACAAACAGTCCAGCTGCTAAAAAAATTCCTGAAGAATCATGTCATTGAAGACATCAAGGGAAAATGGGGTCAGGAAGATTTTGAAGACAACCGTCACTTATACAGGTAGAGTATAAGTGCTGACAGGGCGAATACGGGGTGAATTAAAGGCTTTGGTTAGAGTCCCATGTGACAAAATTTATCTTGTTCATTGAAGCATAGTTCTATTTGTGATGTGTCTAATGAACAACTGAATGTCGTTAGTGTAAAACTGATTGTAATTTTTCTTGATCCTTAGAGTCCTTTGCTGCGGTGATTTTTCAGTAAAGACATTTGTTCGTGCTTTTTGCTTACCTCAGGAGGAACTTTACAATAACTTAGTTCAATCTCAGATTCTCCTAGAGTCTGAAAGGGAAACAATAAAAGCAGCCTTGAGCTCAGCTTGTTTAGCATAGAGCGTGGGTGTATTCATGGAGCTGGTGCCACAGCGCTTTTGATTTTTCAGCAGCTCACGGCCCAGCAGACTTGTGCTAGAATTCTCTGATAGTTCAGATGAAACCTGACAATGCATGTTGGCTTTTCTCCCAACATTTTTGATCACACTTCGGTGCTCTTTTATGATGTAGACACTGATTACCTGGTTATCCTAGGGAAATGGATATCTCTTTCTTTATACTTCTTTTTCTCTACATGCTCACTGTTTTGTCACCATCAGTAGAGGAAACCTAACTAAGGTTCTGGCTGTAGGAAAGACCAAAGAGGAATGAAGTAATACAAGTCCAGATGAGGAACTGTCGAGTTATCTGCAGAGAGGTTACAAAGTGCTGAGATCCTAAGAGAGATTAAAGAAGAAATGGAGATTTCAGGCCCTTAATATTTGTCGCCTTCTACTCTAACAGAAAAAAGAGGAATGTTGTCACAGCACATTCAGTCAGTGTGACTCTGGGACACGTGACTGAGCAGAGCAAATGTGACTCTTACACCTGAACCCTGTCTTTGTTTCCCCTTCGGCCTGGCTGCTGAGAAAGGCAGAGCGTGTGAGGGTGGCCAAGGGCAGCAGTGCTGTGCATTTCTTCTGACTCCCTTCTGGGCTCTCATAAGCTGTTTCCATTGCCCAGATAGCAAGATGATCACCTGGGCGGTTTTTGTCTCCATTCAGTGGCTATTTCTGATTTTGCTCATTGGCTTTTAATTAGGCTTCCAGGTGATCTCTGCCTAATCTGAGACCTTAGGGTTTATTAGCTTCAGGCAGTGGAAATTCTAGCCCTGATTCCACGCACTACACTGCACTGAGGATGGATTCTTAAGTGGTTATTCTTTTGGGCAACTCTAGTCGCTTGTACCCCCCTGAGGATTAGCTACAACACTTCTGAAAGATTTTCTGGGTAGGATTTCTTCCAGTCTGTCCTGCTGTGACCTTAACTTGGTTACCTCCTGTTGAGTCCTGTGATGCTTTGTGAGCTCTCAGGAGAGAGGAAGATAGGAGCATTTTCTAGGCGCTGACCAACCAGCACTGACTGGAATGTTTCGTTTTAATATGGATTGAATCATATACCCACTTTAAAAAAATACAGTACACAAGATTATCTTCCTTTATTAAATACAGTCATGGGTGATTAATTTCCGGACCCTTTGCTGATGTAGAAATCTATGGAGGCTCAAGTCCCTTATATAAAATTGTGTAGTATTTGAGTATAACCTGTGCACAACTTTGTCTATATTTTAAATAATCTCTAGCTTACTTGTAATGCCTAAAACATTATAAATGCTATATAAACAGTATATCATATTGTTTAGGCAATAATAATGTTATATTGCTTAGGGAATAATGACAAGGGAAAAAGTATATGTGTTCAGTACAGAAGCAACCGTCATAGGCCTTACTTACTACATAGTTCGTGAATGTGATGTGAACAAAAAGTGCTTAAGCTGTGAGTGCTGGAGAGAAGCTGGAGGAAGCTACAGCAGGATGTGCCTGTATATAAGTTCATTCACATGGATCCAGTATAGTACAGTGGACTCTTGACTTATGAACTCAGTTTGTTCATGAGGCCTGGTTGTAACTCAAGTTGGTCAGTCTCAGGCTCCTCTACATAGCCTTCACAGTCTCTCTTCTATAAATAGTCAAATCTGTTTCCTTAGAGAGGCATTGGTCCAGGATTTCTCAATTAACCCCACACAGGAAAGGATGTTGTCATGTTCCTTTCAGAACTCTTTAAGGATTAAATCACAAGTGGCTGGCATTTGGTTCTTAACTCAAGACTGGTCATAAGTTAAAACTAAAATTCTGGTTATAATCTAAGTTGTTTGTGTGTCAGGGTGGTCATAACTTGAGGGTCCACTTTACTTGATACAAGGTGAATTCAAGTTTTGCTTTTTGGATCTTTCTGGAATTAATTTTTTTTTTTCTTTTTGAGATGTATTCTATGTTATCCAGGCTGGCTACCTCCCACTCCCATGTTTAAGTGATTCTTCTGCTTCGGCCTCCCAATAGCTGGGAACTACAGGTGCCATGACTGTACCTGATTGGAATTTTATTTTCAAATATTTTTGGTCCTTGTTTGATTGAATCTGAGAATGCAGAACCCATGGATACCAAGAGCCAACAGCAATCATTTCTTACCCCTTGTTTCTCTAATAGAATGCTTGTGAATCGTTAAAGGAGCAGTATGACCCCGTGGTACAATGGTAGCACATCTGACTCTAGATCAGAAGGTTACATGTTCAAATCACATCAGAGTCAAGGTGTTGTACGTATTCACCCTTCTGAAAGTTTCAAAAATGCACAGAAGGGAGCAGTATTTTCTTTCGTCACTTATCACATGAAAGTTCATTCCCAGGTGGAGATTCTGTAAGTTAGCTCCTGACTTGCCAATTATCTAGATTAGTCAGGGATGAAGTCTAATTAGGCAAATAAATTATTTGTGAAGGTATCTGTGCTTTGCATTGAGCATCAGCTAATGAGTGTGTAGCCAGCTGCCACACATGCAGGCTTCCGTGACTGGTGCTTAAGATCTTACTGTTCCATGCGAGTGCTGTGGGAATTGCTGCATGTGCTGCCCTATGTACCCACTGTGTTGCCAGCTGCTCTCTGTCAGGGACCAGTGCCGGGCAAGTTTTGAAGGCAGAAGAGGAGGTTATGATCCAGAGGCAGAAAATAAGTTTGAAAATAGATGAGGGGCCATAGATGGCAGAATTCAGGAACATTTAAAGATCCAGCTTCCTAGAAGAGCTGGGAAGGACACTGGAAAGGAGTTCTTGCTGGGAAGAAAGAAACTAACATTCCAGAGCATCTGTGATGTTTTAGACTCATCAAGTATTCACGCTGTAATGCAGTTCCTGAAGATGTAGGTAGTAGTGTCTTAATTTTAAAGGTTAGAAAACTAATAAGGCCAAAGTTAACTAATTTGTTTAAAGTAGTAGAAGAGTCCAGTTGTATCCAGTTAGTAGTGGAAAAGTCATGACTTGAGCTGAGGTCTGCCTCTGAGGCCTGTGTTCTTCTGTGTGCCAGGCTGTTTCTGTGTCCACAAGAAGAGATTGACTTAGCTTAACAAATAAATCAGTGATGAGTAAACACAGACTAATAAACAAGGCACATTTGATGTAAGCTCACGTGATGATATTCAGAGTTCCTGTAGTGTGTTGAATACCACATAATGAGTACTAAGTAATAAGCTATCTTATCCAAAAAGTTCTCAAATAAAAGAGGTAAGGGCAGCATAATTAGCCTGAATACTTAAATAGACATAGCAAGGGAGAAGCAGTACCTTGGGTCTGTAAAGTTAGAGAAAGATACGTGGAATATAAATGCTCTGCATTTTGTGTGTGTCTTATGGAGCTGGGGGTTGAACCCAGGGCTTTGTGCATGCTAGGCAAGTGCTCTATCACTAACACTACCTTCTCCGCCCTTGATTGTATTTATTTTTCAGAGAGTGATTGCATATATATGTATTAGATGATTTTGTAGCAAAGATGATGAGTAAATCCTTTATTTTGGAATGGATTGAAATAGTTTTAGACTTAAAAAGTATGTATTGTCCTGTTAATGAGTGTACATTTGTTAGCTATGATTTTTTTTTTAAAGAACCAGTTATATATAGAAAATAGAAGGAAAAGTAGATTTAATGTGCAAGAAAGCAAAGCAATACCTGGCGAGGTGGCACATACCTGTAATCCTAGCTCTCAGGAGGCTGAGGCGGGAGGATTGTAAGGGTCAGGGGGAATGGATGTTGCTGGAGACCCCTGCAGTAGGTCCCAGCCTCCTGTGAGCCAACACAGCACTGGCTAAAGGTTAAAGATTAGACGGAAGGAGGAAGGAGACTTAACAATGAAGCTGAGTCTTGGGTCCTGGTCAGTGCTGCTAATAGCAGCAAAGAAAAAGTCCCCAAGCACATCCAGTATTTGTTGAATTCAGTTGTGAGAGGGAATAGGGAGCTGGGGAGCTTTGAAATCATCTAGTAAATTACTGCCAAACACCTGGCACATGATGGCGCCAGGCAGGGCTGTTAGGGAGTAGGCACTGCTTATCTTGCTAGGATAGAAGAAACCCATACTGGGACCACGCACAATTAGCAAGCAGCGCACAAGGTTAGTGAGAAGCGAGAATTCAGGGGAAAGGATTTTAATTGGGGTCACGCTGACCTCAGCTGCATGTAATTCAGTAGGGCCCTGCCACTTCACACACCTGGACAGCCATTAGCAAAGGAGCAATATTAGCCCAACTCCACTTGCTGACATGCCTGTTTGAGTAATGCAGGGCTTCAGTCTGACTCCTGATATAAAATAATATAGCTGAATTAGGGAAGGTAAGAAGCATGTGCTACTCAGTCCGCCTGTATTGGGTAGGAACACCTACTACAGAGGCTCAAGTTTGAGGTCAGCGTGGACTACATCACAAGACCCTGTCTCAAAGAAACCAAAAAAAAAAAAAAAAAGCCCCCCAAACAAGAGAGAAAACAAAGCAAAATTCTCTGTTTGAATGATAGTAATAAGTACAAGTTGCAGAAAAGGAATCAGCATTATTTATTGGACCTCTTCTTTCCTGTTACTAACACTGATGACTAGAAAGTTCTGGATTTGCTGTTGGTGAAGACAACTTTAGATGTCTCTAATGGATATTCAGCTGT